GTGTGTGTGTGTTGTGTGTGTGTGTGTGTGTGTGTGTGTGTGTGTGTGTGTTGTGTGTGTGTGTGTGTGTGTGTGTGTGTGTGGGTGTGTGTGGGTGTGTGTGTGTGTGTGTGTGTGTGTGTGTGTGTGTGTGTGTGTGTGTGTGTGTGTGTGTGTGTGGCAAAACAGACGAACATGAGACAGGTCAGTGCTCATCATATGAAGAGTGTGGCCTGCAGTCCTGTTGGCCATGCCTCTGTAACCGAGATAATAGAGACCAACCCCCCTGTGAGGAGCCATAAACAGCCCACACAAACATTACCAACCATATGATATTCACACCTTTTGACTACTAAGCCATTCAAAACAAGTTCACTACAGCCACTGGTTTTAAAGTTATCTGCTGAACATTGACACTGTTGTGTATCATCCCAACGTGATGTTGTGCTCACTTATTCTCATATTACATTGCATTGCATTTAGCTGACGCTTTTATCCAAAGCGACTTACAATAAATGCATTCAACCAAGAAGATACAAATTTGAAGAAAACAGAATCATATAAGTACATCAGGTTTCATAGAGCTAAAACATTTCAAGTGCTACTCAACTGGCTTTAGATAAGCCAGTCCTTTACTATATAAGTGCTTTGTTGGTAATTGTATTGCTTGAAGTGGAGTCGAAAGAGATGAGTTTTCAGTCTGCGCCGGAAGATGTGCAAGCTATCTGCTGTCCTGATTTCAATGGGGAGCTCAGTCCACCATTTTGGAGCCAGGATAGCAAACCCACGTGTTTTTGCTGATAGGAACTTGGATCCCCCTCGCAGTGCGGGTGCAGCGAGCCGTTTGGCTGATGCAGAATGGAGTGCACGTGCTAGGGTGTACAGTTTAACCATGTCCTGGATGTAGGAAGGGCCAGATCCATTCGCAGCATGGTACGCTAGTACCAGTGTCTTGAAGTGGATTCCAGCAGTTACTGGAAGCCAGTGAAGGGAGCGGAGGAGCGGCGTGGTGTGGGAAAATGTTGGAAGGTGGAAGACCAGACGAGCTGCTGCATTCTGGATGAGCTGCAGAGGTCGGATGGCACATGTAGGTAGACCAGCCAGGAGGGAGTTGCAGTAGTCTAGGCGCGTCATAGACAGTAAAGTCAATTATTATATACATTTGAACCAGGTCAAAGGGCGCAAAGAGTGGGATGTCAAGTAGACATGTACAATTATTGTTATAGATTAAAACACAGCAATTTAAACTGATAGAACATTATAGATTGTAGTTTTAGAGGGGGTAACTCTAAGCGTTATTAATGACATGACATCGTTCTTGTGACAGATTTGTGCTTTCTTGTGATACTATACATGAAGCCTGTTGATTTGGTGCAGTGTAATCAAGTGCGATCAATTTCCGCATGGTTCCTCAAACAGGTGCTCTGTATAATTTGCTTTTCTAAGCAATATAATGTAAGTCTTTACAAATTGTAGTGGAGAAATTCAGAGCTTGGTTAAGTCAGTCCACTGAGAGTTCTACTCTCCCATCTGGAGAGGAAATATTGAAGAACGCTTCAACCTTAAAATATAACCTCAATTAATAAAAGCAATGTTATGTTGTGTAAGTTAGTTGCATTGAAACCACAGTGGGAGTTTTCTGTGTGATTTGTATGTTGTGATTTTTTTAAATGTGGCTCTAAATCTGGTCAATGTCAGAAACACACAACCTTAATCCTCTCTCAATAACAACACGTTTTAACCCTTTACTTTCCATAAGGCAAATGCAATGAAACAGCTGATTTCTTCATTATATGCCACATATAAATTGCCAAAACCTGTATTATGTTCATCATAAAGAAGTCCTTTTGGCAACATCACAAGTGACCACACTGACCAAAGCAAATGTAAGCTGGTGGTCATAGCTAGCCCGGTTTTCTGCCCAACACTGGGCACACTTCTAAGCACACTCACTCCTCTGTGTGAAGCTCCATCCATCACAAGGCCAAGAAAGGACAGAAGACCATGGGAAATGAAGCATGGCTAATTCTATTAGCGTGGGGACACAAACAATCTGTGGGGAATCAAAGGAGAAGGAAACATAATCCCGGTGGACCCACTTCCTGCTGCATGAGCTGTAGCAGTTCACCCTGATAAAGCACAAAGTTAAATTCCTGCACGCTAGCTTTGCAACCCAGACACTCTGTGCCTAATGCCTGTAGATGGTTCAATAAAGTGAAGTTCAACTTTTCCGTATTTACTGACTGTCACATTGGAATCTATCTGTCTCCCCAATCAGCCTTTCTTTCTCTCTGCTTTTCGGCTGTGCACTGACTCAGTCTACGGGGAAAGGTAGCGCACAAAGCTCTCTCATGAGGGACCCTTATGGGACAAAGCTGGCTTTCTGGGCTTTCTGCATATATGCATGCCATGCAGACAATGGGGTCTTTATTAGAGTAGCCAGTATTTGTGAGCCGGAGCGGCAGGGATGAGGGATGAAATTCGGGAAAGCTGTGACTGACACTTAGTAAAGTGTAGTACAAAGTATAGTGTGTGGTGTGTGTGTGTGTGTGTGTTGTGTGTGTGTGTGTGTGTGTGTGTGTGTGTGTGTGTGTGTGTGTGTGTGTGTGTGTGTGTGTGTGTGTGTGTGTGTGGGTGTGGTGTGTGTGTGTGTGTGTGTGTGTGTGGTGTGTGTGTGTGTGTGTGTGTGTGTGTTGTGTGTGTGTGTGTGTGTGTGTGTGTGTGTGTGTGTTGTGTAGTGTGTGTGTGTGTGTTTGTGCATGCCTGTGCTTGTGTGTCACAGAGGTGTAAAGTGGATGCCTCTTACCCTTACTTCTTCAGTCAACTAATCAATCTTTGCCCATCCTAAGCTTGTCCCCTGAGACAGTTTCCTTATGCCATATGGTGTCACACAGTGGATACATGAGAAACATATGAGCCAGTCAGACTCTCCCGCCTCCTTTCCTTTTTCATCTGCATACAAAACAGTCAAAACAACATGCTGTGGCCTGTAGCTGCAATCAAAAAACTGCTTTAAACAAGCCCTGTATCACAGTGTATCGCTCTGCACCTGACTAACTTTACAATACTGAAATCAGGCCTATACACTGAGTGTCTCTCTCTCTCTCTCTCTCTCTCTCTCTCTCTCTCTCTCTCTCTCTCTCTCTCTCTCTCTCTCTGTGTGTGTGTGTGTGTGTGTGTGTGTGCGCACGTGCGTGCGTGCGTGCGTGTGTGCGTGCGCGCGCGCGGTGTGTGTGTGTGTGTGTGTGTGTGTGTGTGTGTGTGTGTGTGTGTGTGTGTGTGTGTGTTGAGGGGGCTCTGCGACTCAATCATGCGTGAAGAGGATTTTTTGTTCTATAGGAGCTGCACACTTGCATACTGTACTTGCATTCTAATGACACCATGTGCATAATCATACAAACCAGTATGCACAGATGAGCATGTACATGCACACACACACACACACACACACACACACACACACACACACACACACACACACACACACACCACTGAGTGCCAGTGTTTCTGTTCTCATTCTGAAAGAAATAAGGGGGAACACTATGAGAGATATGCCTAACTTGTAGAAAATACAGTATAATGTATGTGTGTGTTGTTGCAGCGCATCATGCCTACTGTTGTCAGTGTGTAATAGGCTTCGGATGTAGACTTCTCGTCACTAAGGGGGTTTTGGATGTGCTATATCTCTAACACTGAACCATGCAGCCAAGGCCAGGATTTTCATGTTTATGCTCTTATTATCCTCTGACTTTATGGAGTGTGATTCTGTGTTGAAAACATTGATGGAGCTTGCATAAAATAAAAAAGGATGTTCAATTCTGCCTTTTTTCTCTCAATATATATATTGAGTCAGGATGGATGGGTGTAAATGGATTCTGTATGTCATCCTGCACCTCAAACACACATGTTAAACATTCAACTGGGATCATCTCTCTCCCTCTCTCTCTCTTCAGTGAAAAAGAGTTGTTGTTCTGAGTGGTAAACATGTGCTAACACGTGGGGGGGGGGGGGGGGGGTGAATGGCTAAGTTTGTCTTTTTATCCAATAAAATGGTCTCCTTGCCAGATCGATTGTTGTTGCTAGGAGACTGAAGCATCCTTTGGCAAGGGGCTACAGCTCTCCACGTCTGTTGTTTCTCTCTTGCTCGCTCTCACTCACATGCACGCGCTCTCTCACTCACACACACATCCACGGAGCTGGCGCGCAGAGCAGTGGCGCCCATCCTCTCTCACAGTGCGACTCCTCCGAGGGATCAGGAGTAGACTAAGTCAAACTTCCAGCGGCTGAAGATTTGTGCTCAACCTTTGCAGGACCCAACTTGTCAAGGTAGGTCAAATATAACATATTCCTTTGTGGTGGTCAAATGTGTTGCAGTGTTAGATTTCGTGTTAGACGACAGAGTGCAGAAAAAAATTGTCAGTCCGGGACCGTTCGTCAGCCAATCCTACGGTGGGGAACAATTTGCTTTGAACTTTGCGCAGGATTTAAATACCCAGTTGCACTGCATAAATGTGGTTCCTGTGTATTTATTTTTAATAAGATGCCTATACAGATCGCGGGTTGTGATAAAGAAAAAATCCCCAGAAGCCAATCTCTGGAGCAGATGCATGATAAAGATACAGAAGGTGAAACAAAGAGTATCTGCAGTTGCGTATTTTACCCCGCGTGGAGAAGTTATTTGGGTTCAGACAGACCGCACCAGGCATGTCCCGCGGCTTGAAGCTTTCTGGGGAAAAGATGGGCGTGTAGTGCGTCTCTGGAAACAGGCATACAGGTGGGTCTGGTAACCGTTTGTGGTGTATCAGAGGAATGATGCTGAACAACCATAACACACCTTCCGACAGAGGAGAGGCGCGTGGACCTTTGATAAAGGTACAGCAGGACCAACACGTCTACATCCACACTACGTAGCCTACACAGACTTTAGACACCGACTCTTGTTGATGCATCAGCAGTTTCATATTGTTCTTCTTAGACTTTGAGGCGCATTAGAACTTCTCTCCTCTCCAAAATTGTTTTATATTTCACTCATACTCCAAATTACATATTTTAATTCTAATTACCAGTGAGAAATCCAGGCCTGTTGGCAGTCTTAATAACATTAAACACCTTAAATTGTTTAGTGTTCAAATATTCCGTCGTATTGAAAGAATATATATAGGCTAGTCAGATATATTTATCCTTGACACCTTTCCTTGGTGATCACATTGGCATGGATTATGCACACTTCAGATGGTGGTAAGACACCATATTTCGTGCACCCACGATGAATTCATTCATGTGATGATCAGCCAATAAATAACTTTGTGTTAATGCACCTTGTAACTGTCCTAAATCAAATAATAAAACTTTGCTGAAATGGCACACAGCCGACAAGGATAACTTTATGTTGCTCTTTTATCAGTGTCAAACATTTGTATTGAAAACTATTACTAGTTAAATGTAACACAGATTTACAAAATCATGCATGGTGCAAGTTTCTGTTGTGGTAATTGCTTTACTATAGTTGAAAAGGAATAGCAATATCAACATCAAAAGATAGGCTTGCTACAGTAAAGAAGTAATGATCATTTTAAATTGCCTCTTATTCTTTATATGCTCTATTAGACAGGAGTGAAAGGACAAACATTTACTCAGAGAAGGGATGGGCAGTGCCTCTACCGCTAGATATCTGAGGGGCTTGGTCCCATTGCAGGTATATAAATAATGATAAAAGTAATAATGATAATAATTATAAATATTTTGTGCAGGCAGTGAGAAATCAAGCATTAATTGATTGCGGTATTTGTATTATTTCTCTATTCTTTAGGGATTGAGGTTCAACAAAAGCAAATCTCTGGAATATGTTTTGCTGCTTCTGACTTTACCGATACGTTACATTGTGTTTGTATTTTGAGATTCATGTGTTTTTGCCCAAGAGTGTGTGTCACCTGTTGCGGTATAAAGCGTTATTTCATAAATGTGTTCATTCACACATGTACAGGTTAAACATTGATGAGTGTCTGTGAGTTGTGTGCAGGGTCAAACACTAGGAGGGGGTCTGCAGTTGGTGTCCTTGTTAAACCTTAAAGACATTTCATGCATCTTTATGAATGTGTTTGTTTTTGCAAGTGTGTTTGGGCAATGTGCATCTTTGTGTAATTCAGGGGAACATTTTTTCCTTTTGTGTGTAAAACTGTATAAATGGCCTTGTAGCTTCCATACAGCACAGCTCACTGGACAGTATATCGTTAGCAGTGTAGCTCTATGCATAGAAAAAGGAAGCCCCTGCATTGTTGATGTCCTCTAGGTGTTTTGTAAATGTGAATTTGCAAACAAGTTATTTGTACATGTAAGTGTGTGAGGTGTCAGATTGTTTGGGTTAGTGAGAATGGCAGGTTTGTTGTTTTCCTGAGGGGTTTTCTGTGATTGGTCAGGTTAGTAATGCCTTTAATAAAAACAGAATCTGGTGACCTTTTACCGACGTCACATAGACTTAGTTCAATGATGTCTTACAGCCCAAATTGTAATCCTGAGCATAGAGTTGAAATTAAGAATGAGAAATAAGGGTCTGGAGTAATGTGGTAAAGAAAGCGCCAATAAAAGGTCATACATTTCAAGGAAGCTTTTTGGACGACACCTGCAGCATGATTTACTTCTCTGCTCCATATGTGGCTTGTCAGGATCTGTAACGTATAGAGACACCTGATAATGTACATTAATAAGGACTGAGATGGAGGTGTGTTTAATCATTTGACTGTCACTACTGGAAAACATTTTAACAAACTCATATTCTTGACCAGAGCCATGCTGCATGAAGGACAAATGTTTTTACTGTTTAAGCTTGCAAGAGATGTGTAATATCTCCCTTTTTTTGGAATGAAATACAATATCATCCAGATAAAACATTTGATGGATCTGTAAAGTCCAAATTGATCACACAGCAAATTGTAACCTGATGATGACAACGCTGTCAAAGCTTCTTCCCCCATACGTAAATACGTTTGTTTTTATTGTACAAACTAAAAGCACAATTTTAGAGTTTGTGTTTGTAGAAATATGTGATACGGTATATTTTCAATATATTTTGGGGTATTTTAACATACTTTAATGCAAAGTTTTAGTGTGGCTGCAGCTCAATGTGCTGTCAGAAAGTCTGAAGTGTATTTAAACAAAATCATGCTACCTTAAAATGCTTGAGTCTACTGATAAGCACACTAGTAGAATATAAAAAAATCTCCTGACCGTGTACAGAAACGTTTACGTACTGTAGAGCCACTGAAGTTTTGATTAATAGAGGCTTTAATCTGTTCTTCACGAGTAAAACCTCTGCAAAACTGAGCTTGAATATAAACGGGTGAATATACTTTTGATAGATTATGACCAAAATATGATGTAAAGAATATTAGTGATGTAACAGATACACATATGTTCTGCGTTGTAGATGTTTTGCAAGAACATTTTGTAAATATGTGCAAACATTTAATCAATCAATCAATCAATCAATGTTTATTTATATAGCCCAATATCACAAATGTTACATTTGTCTCAGTGGTCTTCACAGTTTGTACAGAATATCAGTATGACAATACGACACCCTCTGTCCTTAGACCCTCACATCGTACAAGGAAAATCTTCCGGAGAAAACCCACAGTTTAAAGGGAAAAATGGGAGAAACCTCAGGGAGAGCAACAGAGGAGGGATCCCTCTCCCAGGACGGACAGACGTGCAATAGATGCCGTGTACGGTAAATTGAAAAGATCATACATTTGCAACATAGGTAGTCCAAATGTTTGGAAATGCATGTGTGTATAATAGGAAGATGAATCCACGAGGATATCCATCCAGGACTTATGAACCAGGACCACAGCCAAAACTCAAGATCCAGGGCTCGCGATCCAGGACACAGGACCACAGGATCATCCATGACTCCGGATCCCAGCGTATATAGACACCAAAAAGAAAGAAATTTGGAGAAGCTGGGTTAATCGGAACATGAGAGTACACAGGTATAGACAGAGAGAAGGAAGAAGTAAGATGTCCCCCGACAAACTAAGCCTATATCAGCAAAACTAGGGGCTGAATCTAATCAGCCCTAACTATAAGCTTTATCAAAAAGGAAGGTCTTAAGCGCACTCTTACAAACGGATAGGGTGTCTGCCGCCCGAACACAAACTGGAAGCTGATTCCACAAATGTGGAGCTTGATAAGAAAAGGCTCTGGCTCCCATTGTACTTTTAGAGACTCTAGGAACAACCAACAACCCTGCATTCTTGGAACGCAATGCCCTAGTAGGACAGTAGGGTATAATGAGTTCTTTAAGGTAAGATGGCACCTGCCCATTAAGGGCTTTGTAGGCGAGAAAAATAATTTTAAATTCTATCCTGTGTTCTATAGGGAGCCAGTGTAAGGCAGCCAGAACAGGAGTAATGTGGTCCCTTTTCCTAACTCTGGTTAGTACACGAGCCGCAGCATTTTGAATCAGCTGAAGCGACTTGACTGACTTCTTGGTACACCCTGATAATAAAGAGTTACAATAATCCAGCCTTGAAGTAACAAATGCATGGACTAGTTTCTCTGCATCGTTTTGAGGCAAGATATGCCTGATTTTTGCAATGTTACGTAGATGGAAGTAGGCGGTCCTTGAAATTGATTTTATGTGGGCGTTAAAGGATAAATCCTGATCAAATATAACACCAAGATTCCTTACAGTCTCACTGGAGGCAAAATGAATGCCATCCATAGTTAGTATATCTTTAGATAATTTGTTTCGTAGATTCTTTGGGCCAAGTACAATAACTTCAGTTTTGGTCGTGTTTAACATCAAAAAGTTTAAGGTCATCCACATTTTTAAGTCCTTAAGGCAGTCTTGAATTTTATTTAGATGATTCATTTCATCAGGCTTGATTGATAAATATAGTTGAGTACAGTGACGTGCGGTGAGGTTCATGGCTGGTGAGGCACTGACTTTTTCAGAGTCAGATTTACAAATATTATATTCTGACCTTAATCGAAATATTCTGTTATTTTCAAAAGCTTTTTTGGTCTGATGTTTCGATTCATTTTAAACAGACCGTTAAACAAAAGGATACCCAAAATCTAAATATTGGATTGTTCTTTCTTAGTAAGATCCCATTTTCATTACCAATGTGGTCTTACCTTGACTTGAAGATGAAGTCCATGCTATCCTTCTGGACAACTATCTCTATTACTTTTTTGTAAAAGTCCTTCTTATCTTCCTCTCGTTTCAAAAGTCTAGTTTGTTGTTTGCATCTACGGTCTACCGTCTCTGCGTAGAATAACAGTAGCAACAAGGACCTGTGGGTTCACGTGCGCCCCCTTCAGTGCGGCAGAGGTTATGGCTGCCTCCCCTGGTGCTTTTTTCATTGCCGTTGTACGGCGAGCCTAAATATCATATATACGTGAAATAAGTTATTTAGAGACTATGGATGGCGAGGATAAATGTAATAAAGGGATCTACAAACATTACATTGGTGACATACAGTGAGATGGTGCAGGCATGCGCTTAGGGCCCGCTTTCCAGACAGTTTATGTGAGGTGACGCATTTTGAGGTGAGGCAGAGCTCATCTGTGCCTCACCTTACCACACAATAACTGGCTTGAGCGCGCTCACAAAATAAGTGCCCGCGCTAAATTAGTGCCCGCGCTCCAGCAAGTTACTGTGGGCTTACGTGAGGCAGAGCTCGTCCCTGCCTCACTTCTCATCGCTACCCGCAGTTGTAGCGGAGCTCGGCAAATTAGCTGATTTTGACTATAAAAAGCGATTGGAATCATACAGAAATCACATTTATAACACATATCAGTGGAGACATTTTATTATTATTATTACTATTTAGTTTTTCTTTAGTTGTTTTTCCGTTACATTGTAGTATGGCCAGTCTATGAGTATGACAGGTGAGGCTCTGCCTCCCCTGCCTCCCCTGACTGCACGTCGCTGGTTGAGTATCATCCGCATAACAATGAAAATGTACAGAATGATTCCTTATAATATTGCCTAACGGAAGCATATATAGTGTGAACAAAATAGGTCCGAGCACTGAGCCCTGTGGCACTCCATGGCTAACTTTGGTTTGCGTGGAAGATTCATCGTTGACACTCACAAACTGAGAGCGTTCAGATAGATAGGACCTAAACCAGCCTAAAGCAGTTCCCTGTATGCCAACTAAGTGCTCTAGTCTTTGCAATAAGATATCATGGTCGATAGTATCAAATGCAGCACTGAGATCGAGCAAAACAAGAATAGAGTCCCTTGTCTGAGGCTATTAGAATGTCATTTGTGACTTTAACCAGAGCTGTCTCTGTGCTATGATGTGTTCTAAAGCCAGACTGAAAATCTTCAAATAAATAATTGTTTTTTAAGTAATCACACAACTGTTTTGCGACTGCTTTCTCAAGAATTTTTGAGAGGAACGGAAGATTAGAAATAGGTCTATAGTTGGCTAAAACCTCTGGATCGAGGTTGTGCTTTTTAAGAAGCGGTTTCATCACTGCTACATTGTGGAACATAGCCTGATAATAAAGACATATTCATAATATTTAATAAAGAAGTGCTAATTAATCAACAGCTTAGTTGGAATTGGGTCTAACATACACGTTGATGGTTTAGAAGAGAGAATCATTGAATTTAATTGTTCAAGGTTTATGGCTGAAAAGCATTCTAGTTTACTATCTAGTGTAATATTAGAACTTACGTTTCCCGGGAGCTGTTGATAACACTATACTGGTCAAAGGCAAGAGGTCGTTAATTTTGTTTCTAAGAGTAACAATTTTATCGTTAAAAATGCACATACAATTATTACTACTGAGTGCTATGGGAATATAAGGCTCAATCGAGCTATGGCTCTCTGTCAGCCTGGCTACAGTGCTGAAAAGAAATCTTGCATTATTCTTATTCTCATCTATTAATGAAGAGTAGTAGGCTGCTCTCGCTTTACGCAGTGCTTTCTTATATTCATTGAGAGTAATATGCCAAATTAAACGAGATTCTTCAAGTTTAGTGGAACGCCATATCCTTTCAAGTTGTCTCGACTTTTGCTTTATTCTTATTTCTATGTTGTTTTATTTTCTTCTTTTTCAAAGGAGCAACAGAGTCTAATTTTATTCGCAGCGCATCTGTAGCACTATCAACAACATGATCAATTTGGGGTGGTGTACATTTTGTATAAGTTTCCTCCCCTACATGCAGACATGCTATCGAGTTAAGTATTGGTGGAATGTCTTCCTTAAATTTGGCTATAGCACTAACAGATAGGTCTCTGCTGCAGGAGCTTTTGACTAATGATTTGTAGTCTAGTACTCTAAAAGTTACTAAAAAATGGTCGGATAAAGCAGGATTATGCGGTTCGACTAATAGTTTTAACAACATTTTGGAATTACAATTGGTGGTTGTGTGCCCTATTTGACATTAATAATACATTTGATGAGTATTGAGTGTATTCTAACTGTTTGTTTGAACACTTTTGAAGCTCTACAGGTGTTTCAGAGAACGGCATATACAAGCTTTTTGATGGTGCTGTCCATGGTGCTGAATTCATTTTTAAGAGACATGAATGATTGAAGTCTTTGTTAAGTGTTTATTCACATTAGAATAGCAATAATACATTGAATTAACATGACATGAAACACAATGCTTACACACTGTCAATAGACAATAGTCACACTGAATACATTATACAAATTACAGTTTTTTTCGATTGCTAACACACATTTTTCTTTAATTGCTCAGTTTCTCAGAACACTATTCACAAAACCACACACCCAAAGTGCAAAACTCCTCATTTCTCCTGCTAAGTGAAGAACTGCACTCAAAACTACATAAACACTTACCAAATGCAAACTTTTGCACCAAATATAACACGCTTCATTCATAACACTAGATTGTTTGACCACCCAGCTATACACTGCTGAGCATAATCTAAAGCACGTTCATCTGTTATGGGATATGCTCTGTACATACAGTAGAGGTTTCTGCAGAGAAAGATTGCTTGAGTTTACAGAAATACAGTAAAGGAAGAAATACAAATGAGTTGTTGAAAAAAAAAATCACATTTTATTCAAAAATAACATTGTGCAACATGCATCTCAGCACATAGCTACTATGCTTCGGATCTCTCTAAGTGTGATGCATTGTTTGCCAAAACCCAGTTTGTAACTGCTGCTTCCTGTGCCTCATTGAAAACCCTTAGCCTTCCACTTTGTTTCTCAGTCCTTCAGATAAACAACAAAGATATAGTGGTCGGTCAGTGTCTGTGTTGCATCAAAGTAAGTTTACCACAGTACATTGTGCAGGATTTGTGTACAGTTATCGTATGCAACATGCCAACAATTGAATTACAGTAATGCAGCAAATACGTTTCACACAACAGATATAAGCACTGATATATCATGAGTTATGCAGAGCTACAAACTGGTAACTAACCTGTTTTCAAGTCTAAGTGTCCGGATTACAGAGGCAACAGTAAATCGGCTTAGATTAGGCTGAGCCCTCTGTCCAGCCTCTCTCATCGTCAAACCATGGTTGATAACATTTAATTACATTAGACAGTATTCTTCTTTGTCCACGTCTTCTTCCTCCTCTCACTCTCACCCCACCTCTTCCTCCTCCTCTCACTCTCAGCCCAGCTCTTGCTCTTGCTTCCATGTTGGCTTCCATTGTTGCTGTAAGAAAGTACTCACCTGTGGTCTTTTTATAGTGCTAACATCCTGATTGATGAGCCAACAATTATGCCATCAGGTGTTTGGTCAGGTGGAACGTGTTTCTTGATTATTGGTCCATGTGTGTCAATTAATGTGTCTTACGTGGAGAAACGTGTGCAGTGGTTTGCAAAAAGTGCCATGTTGATTTGCAAATTGTGTGAAAAGCTGAAAACGTGTTTAGAGTTTTGGAGATTTGAGCCGATGTTTTGCTCTTTGAGTGTCGGTTAAAATAATTGTGCTTTATGTATAATTTTAGTGTGTTAGCAATCGAGAAAAACTGTAATGATGAATTGTCTTCTTTCTGTTTTCATGTGCTTATCAATTCTGCAGACCAGGGGATAAAACCATGGGATCTAATCTCAGTAGAGACTCCAAGAGGAGTCTTATACACTATTAAAACAGGTAGGTAACTTAAAAATGAATGTCTGCTTTCATGCAAACAACAACAGTACCACATTATAAACAAAAAGATATATATAACCATAACATGCTAAAAATAATAAAACAAATGCATACAGTGATGCAGTGGTGTATGCTGCTTGAAAAGTTAAGTCAGAGATGTGTTGTTGCTGTTGCTAACGGAATATATGTGTCATTACAGCTACTTAAATGTTTGCAAAATTAGTTCGAAGGGTACCTGAAGTTATGGCTTTTCAAGTTTTTGTATACAACAGTTGCTCCGCTCCACATGTTTCTTGCACTGTTATGCTCTACTGAGGAAACAGGGAAGAGTCTGGAAATCACTGCTGCTTCCCACAGCTCACCTCTCAACAGCAGTCACAACACATACTGAGCTGCACACACACACACACACACACACACACACACACACACACACACACACACACACACACACACACACACACACACACACACACACACACACACACACACAGCGTTTTCACCACACTCTGTGTTCACTGACATCCATCCTTTGCTAAATGTGCACACACACACACACACAAATACACACGCACACATATACACACACACAGGGAATGAGGCAGTGAAAGGGCAGTGGGATATACAGCTGTGATGGTGTGTCTCAGAGAGAGATCAGACTCTTTAATAAATGATGAGTTTGAGGAGGGAAGCAGTGTGTGTGTGTGTGTGTGTGTGTGTGTGTGTGTGTGTGTGTGTGTGTGTGTGTGTGTGGTGTGTGTGTGCTGCGCGTGTGTGTGTGTGTGTGTGTGTGTGTGTGTGTGTGTGTGTGTGTGTGTGTGTGTGTGTGTGTGTGTGTGTGTGTGTGTGTGTGTGTGTGTGTGTGTGTATGTGTGTGTGTGTGTGTGTGTGTCAGCGACGTGCAGTCAGGGGAGGCAGGGGAGGCAGAGCCTCACCTGTCATACTCATAGACTGGCCATACTCCAATGTAACGGAAAAACAACTAAAGAAAAACTAAATAGTAATAATAAAATGTCTCCACTGATCTGTGTTGTAAATGTGATTTCTGTATGATTCCAATCGCTTTTTATAGTCAAAATCAGCAAATTTGCCGAGCTCCGCTACAACTACGGGTAGCGATGAGGAGTGTAAGCCCACAGTAACTTGCTGGAGCGCGGGCACTAATTTAGCGCGGGCACTTATTTTGTGAGCGCGCTCAAGCCAGTTAGTAGGCTTGTTTGAGACAAGCAAGACCTGCGCAGACCTGCGCAGTTGCGATCAACGTCTTGCTAGTGCGTTGCATGATGGTTAGTCATTTTGTCCGACTTGCTCTGGAGGCCCGCCCACATGAGACTTTGAAATTTCGCGGGACAAAGACGCCCGCAGCCTTGAGAGCGAGGCGAGGCGAGTTGGCGCAATTGCTCTCCACGGGCTGCGGAAGCGAAATGCTTGATGGGAAACGGCTCGCTGGTATCTCGAGCTGAGCGCTCATTGGTGGTTTTTACCACGTGCTGGTGATGAAACTCTCCAATTGGCTGGCAAAATGTTGTTGTTGTTTTGTGTCAGTTTTACGTCGCCACTTCCATTCACATTTTTCATCATTGTTCCACAATATTTATCATCATGAAATGAATATCTATATATTTTATACTATACTTGCACTGCTTACCGTTTTCATACTTTATATATCTTAGCATATTCATACACACTGTTCATACTGCTCTCAGGCTGCTGTGTATATCTAGTGTATTCATAGCCCTCACTGTTTATTCATCATTCAATTCATTCTATATGTTATTCTGTAGATTGTGTACATTACTTTTCACTTTACTGCTTGTTGCACCTGGTTAGAAGCTAAACTGCATTTCGTTGTCTCAGTACCTGTAATATGTGCAATAACAATAAAGTTGAATCTAATCTGGAGCAGGAACAAATGTATTTACTTAGTACATATCTGACATTAACGATTAAACACATGTGTGCATTCTTTATAAATGCAAACCGAGTCAAGCCGACTCCGGAGGTGGCGGTATGCACCTTAAAGTTGTTTGCAATCCGCCAAAAAACCGAGAGAAGAAGAAGAAGAAGACGAAGCCGACTCCGAGCATGGACTCCGAGCTGTCCGACTTCAGGCGAGCTTTTTGAGACCTCCCCCGGCTGCGATCGGCTATTCTCGTCTACTTTCGAGGCGAGCCGCAACGCGTCTCAAACAAGCCTACTGTGTGGTGAGGTGAGGCACAGATGAGCTCTGCCTCACCTCAAAATGCGTCACCCCACAGAAACTGTCTGGAAAGCGGGCCCTAAGCGCATGCCTGCACCATCTCACTGTAGGTCACCAATGTAATGTTTGTAGATCCCTTTATTACATTTATCCTCGCCATCCATAGTCTCTAAATAACTTATTTCACGTATATGATATTTAGGCTCGCCGTACAACGGCAATGAAAAAAGCACCAGGGGAGGCAGCCATAACCTCTGCCGCACTGAAGGGGGCGCACGTGACCCCACAGGTCCTTGTTGCTACTGTTATTCTACGCAGAGACGGTAGACCAGACGCAAACAACAAACTAGACTTTTGAAACTAGAGGAAGATAAGGAGGACTTTTACAAAAAAAGTAATAGAGATTGTTGTCCTTGTCCAGAAGGATAGCATGGACTTCATCTTCAAGTCAAGGTAAGACCACATTGGTAATGAAAATTGGATCTTACTAAGAAAGAACAATCCAATATTTAGATTGTGGGTATCCTTTTGTTGAACGGTCTGTTTAGACCTGCGCAGACCTGCGCAATTGCGATCAACGTCTTGCTAGTGCGTTGCATGATGGTTAGTCATTTTGTCCGACTTGCTCTGGAGGCTCGCCTACATGAGACGTTGAAATCTCGCGGGACAAAGACGCCCGCAGCCTTGAGAGCGAGGCGCGGCGAGGCGGCGCAGTTCCTCTCCACGGGCTGCGGAAGCGAAATGCTTGATGGGAAACGACTCGCTGGTATCTCGAGCTGAGCGCTCATTGGTGGTTTTTTCCACGTGCTGGTGATGAACGCTCTTCCCACAACTGTAAAGGAAAGTAAAACTATACTTACCTTCAAAACCTCTCTTAAAGAGCACCTTCGGGGGAGAGCATTGCAAAACTGGCCCCGGTAATGGTACAAATCTCAACCTGTCGTACAATGGACAGCTTCCCCCCCCCCATCTATGTATACTCGCATTGTAGACTCTGTTACTAACTGTATATCTGTAGACTTGGTATGTCTTAAATGTCCGGTTAGGATGTATTAGAACGAAATCTAAAATGAAAATTGTAAATAAGCAATCTGTATGTAAAAAACCACTTGTATGTAAATTGTAAATAAGCCATCTGTATGTCAAATATGCCTTATATGTCTTATATGTCTTAAATGATATGATGAATTGGAAATGGGGGACCCTGATGTAAACAAGACGAAAGTATTTCTCTGGTCTGCATCCCCTTAACAATTGTATGTTTTGAGCTGTACTGTACTGTACCCAATATACAAGCTGTTAATAAACTTTTCAATCAATCAATCAATGAAACTCTCCATTTGGCTGGGCAAAAGTTTGTTGTTGTTTTGTGTCAGTTTTACGTCGCCACTTCCATTCACATTTTTCATCATTGTTCCACAATATTTATCATCATTAAATTAATATCCATATATTTTATACTATACTTGCATTGCTTACCGTTTTCATACTTTATATAGGCTATCTTAGCATATTCATACACTGTTCATACTGCTCTCAGGCTGCTGTGTATATCTAGTGTATTCATAGCCCTCACTGTTTATTCATCATTCAATTCATTCTATATTTTATTCTGTAGATTGTGTACATTACTTTTCACTTTACTGCTTGTTGCACCTGGTTAGAAGCTAAACTGCATTTCGTTGTCTCAGTACCTGTAATATGTGCAATAACAATAAAGTTGAATCTAATCTTGAGCAGGAACAAATGTATTTACTTAGTACATATCTGACATTAACGATTAAACACATGTGTGCATTCTTTATAAATGCAAACCGAGTCAAGCCGACTCCGGAGGCAGCAGTATGCACCTTCAAGCTGTTTGCAATCCGCCAAAAAACCGAGAGAAGAAGAAGAAGAAGAAGACGAAGCCGACTCCGAGCTGTCCGACTTCAGGCAAGCTTTTTGAGACCTCCCCCGGCTGCGATCGGCTATTCTCGTCTACTTTCGAGGCGAGCCGCAACGCGTCTCAAACAAGCCTAGTGCCTCACCAGCCATGAACCTCACCGCACGTCACTGGTGTGTGTGTGTGTGTGTGTGTGTGTGTGTGTGTGTGTGTGTGTGTGTGTGTGTGTGTGTGTGTGTGTGTGTGGTGTGTGTGTGTGTGTGTGTGTGTGTGTGTGTGTGTGTGTGTGTGTGTGTGTGTGTGTGTGTGTGTGTGTGTGTGTGTGTGTGTGTGTGTGTGTGTGTGTGTTGTCATGCAGTGGATGTTTTGCAAAGTACCAAAGTGCAGGTAACTCAGCATCTGACCCTATTTAAAGTTATACATTTTTTTTATTTAAAGTTGTTATGTTTAGTTTTTCATAACCGAAGACTGAGTGTGACAGTTGAGATCTGATATAGTTAATGTTACTAAATGTTGTGGGTTAGGGTTAGATGTGAGATGGATACAGTAGTAAAAAGTGAAGAAGTGGCTTACTGGTCATGCAGTGGATACTATGCAACGTACCAAAGTGCAGGGAAATCAGCAACTGACCATATTAAAAGTTATACGATTTTTATTTATTTTTAATCGTTATGTATAGTTATCCATGCTTTATCTGATGAGTGTGACAGATCTGATCTTATATAATTAATGTTAATGTTACAGCTCAGCAAAATCAATCAAGTCAAAGATGCAAATGTGAGTAAATGGTTCAAATGAATACCCATCACCAAAAACCCCTTTATTTCAGGCCATGTTTAAATACAACAGGTTGAGCTTGTTGTTCTGCAGTGGGAACTAAAGTTCTTCATCAGTCCAAAAATGTTGCCTGAACCA